AGAGAGAGAGAGAGATACCTGGAATTTGGCAGTGGAATAAATTTGGGAAGGTAGCAAGATTTAGGAGAAATAATTAGGAATATATATATATGTCATAAAGAAAAGGGGAAGTTGTTTTTGGTTTGAAAAGCTGGGCCCCTTTTTATTTGCCATCATTATAAATTGTGGTGCTCGTTTGAATGTAAAATAGTTTCCCTCCAAAATGTTGAAAACTTAGGGGCAAAAATAAGTGGGGGAAAAAATAAACCCACTAAAAATATAAGTCTATTGCTCTCCATTTCAATCCAATAAACAAAGTATGAGTGAGAGAAAAATAGTATTTAGTGAATTTTAAGCTAATATTTTTCAATTTGCAGTATTAAAAATAGGTAAATTATGATAATATCCTTATGTTTTTAAGAGAAAAAAATTTATATAAGGTTTGAACTTTAAAATGTAGAAGTAAGGTGTACTTCAAAAACCATAAGAAAAAAGTTGTTTTGTTATTATAAAGCTTCTAATTGATCATCTTGACATCGAGATGTATGAATATTTGAAAAAATAAATATTTTAAGTCTCACAAATAGTGCATCTTGCAATGCATTATCTGCCTCATACATTTTCAAGATTTTCACGTGTTTATAAATTTACTTGATTTGAACTATTTTTTAAGTTAAAAAATTCATAATTAGATATGTAAATGGATTATATAGCCATCCTAACAAAATTTGACTCCATAATCATATCTTATGATAAATTTTGCATGTGTACCTTACTTGGATTGTTTACTATTGCAACATTATACATACCAATAATTGAAAATCTGTCATCATATCTTCTAATTTACAGGCATGTCCCTTTTTTTTATTTTTCAATTTTCTCAAAAAAAACCAGGGGTTCGAACTCACAATATGCTAATCAAAACAATTGAATAATATAAATCCAAAATTCAGATCTTCAAAAGTTGTACCCCTTTATGAAAACATGGTGGTTCGGATTTTCAAAATCTAAACTACCTTAGCTTTATTTCGGAGATTGAAAGTTGGAAGCAATCGTATTATGGAGAAAAAAAGTCCAAAAATAGAGACAGGAGCATAAATTACAATACATTGGAGTAGATTTTTAATGACAGAAAATTTGGGGGATATTAGTTTAAAATTCCCCAAAAATACCTCTCATTTACATATATTATGCTCATCTCATTTTTTTTTATTTCTTTTTTTCAAAATACACTCGACTTTGAACTTGAAGTTCCGAACTGGTTTTAACATTAATCGTTAACTAGTTCAAAACTTCAAGTTTCGAACCCGCCAAGTTAAAAAAAGTTGAAAAAAGGATTGTAATCCGTTTTCTTTGGTTCAACCACCAATGGCAAGATAAGCCTTGTTGTATGGAGGAGCTAAGGTTTTCAAAGTCAAGCCAAACTACCCAAAAGGAAGAAAAAATAGATAGAAAAATTTATTAAAATACTTATTAGAGAGATGAACTATTTAATAATTTAATCATGCAGTTTAATTTGGTTTCAAAAAACACATGATCGTAAGTTAGAATAGTGGCAATTGTATAAAATGTTAAACAGCGCATCTCTCTAAAGTTGAGGCTTCAGACGACTTCGGATTTTCAAGATATAAAGTTGTTTGGAACCTTAACTTGAAGTTGTCCCAAAAATGGTAATTTGGGAAAAACAAAAATAGAAAAATGTGGGTATGAACATGATAATAAATTTTTCAGGCAAACTTAAAATGGCAAATATTTTGGGGGATATCTAAATAAATTTCCCTAATCCTTAATCACCGTGAGAACTGCAAATCTCTTTACCTTAGTTAGAATGGTAACCCCTAAGTACTTGCAAAGCATGGAAAGGAAACAATGGTCTAACTTGAGCATAGAGCTCTCAATTCATTCTAAAACTGAACATACAATTTAGTATGAGTTTAGATATTGAACTTTAGAAATATGACCACAAGGTTTTGAAAAAAGACTTACACTCCAAGTCCTCCACAATATGGCAAAATATAAAATATGACCATTTATCTATGATATAGGGAGGTCATAATTACTTGCAACCATTCGATGTCTTAGGTGTATCACAAAATTCAATAATTGTTTTTTCGAAGTTTGAGTTTGGTCAATGGAATAAATTCAGCCAATCAATTTCACATCCAATGTTTAAGATTAATTGTAACCACTTTGTACTAAAAGTAAATTGTCACATTATATACTTTTCTCCAAAATATTAGACTTTACCATTACGCGGAGGGATTAGATGTTAATATGCATCCAAATCTTCCAATAACATTATGACTTAAAAGTTCTACCAAAATAAACCTTCTGTCACGTAAGGTTTTGGAGAAAGCAACACTGATTTTGGAATCAAGTTTATTGACAAAGTATACTTTTAGGATATATATGTGTCATTTGCAAGCTCAAAAAAGCTTATGGAGAACGCAACACTAATCTTAGGATTGAGTTTTTTGATGATCTGGATGAGTTTTTGACAAATATATTTCCAAGATACAACTAAACAATGCAAATTACTTTATTTTTTTTCGCACTCAAGAAAACAAGACACCCTGATTTGCCTTTTATCTAGGGTTTATTAGTAGACTCAATTTTGAAAAAAAGCACCAAAGAGCCAGAGATCCTCATGCCTCTGTCTCCAGGCATCAAAGGATTAAGAAACAACCTAACTTAATAGGGAAGTATATATCTTCTATGAAGTAAGAGATATTCACAAAACCTTTTCCACTTATATAACCATAAAAACTCTCATCTCCAATGATTATATGTTTAACACTTAACCTTTGGCCTTTGCTTTGACTTAGTAAAATACCCAACACAAACCCAAAAATAACCAAAGTTGTTATCAAACACCCATCAAAACTTTTAACACACTGGTAGGTGTTGACTTCCCAGGGTTAGTTAAACCTAAATCGAGCCCCTTGCGAGATGAAGTTTGTTACGAAATCATTAAAGATGTCAAATGGTTCTAACTAATATTTGATGAGGTTTTTTTTTTTTTTTTTCTCATATAGGTAGGTGTCTTTTTCAAAAAAATTAAAAAAAAATTGATAAATTACCCTTTTTTAAGATTGGGAATGATGAACCATCTAGGGCAGTTTTATAAGTTAATCCTTATGGGGCTCCAACCGGATAATGAAACTACCATTGCTTATTTATGGTTACAAATAAGGAACACACTATTCATTATCAGTAAAAAAGAATAACTAGGGGTACTTTTATCATTTAATACATACAGGACATTTGGGTGCCAAATGACAAAAATTATCATACTTTTCCCTCATTACTAAACCTCTCATTATCAGTAAAAAAGAATAACTAGGGGTACTTTTATCATTTAATACATACAGGACATTTGGGTGCCAAATGACAAAAATTATCATACTTTTCCCTCATTACTAAACCTCACCAACAGTGTGTTCTTTATTTATAATTCTAAACAAATAGGGATGTTCTCATCATTTGGAATGAGCCGTATGGAGGCCAATTGCTAAAATACCACTAATTGTTCTTCCGTCCCAACCCTAAACAAGAGCAACTCGAGAACTTTTTAATTATTATATTTTGTTTTTGAGAAGGTACCGAAGCGAAATGATAAAGGAAATAAGTTACTTCATAGTATGAGATTATTTGAGCCCTTTGAATTTTTTATAAAGGCTTTCAACCCCTTAAATAATATTTTCCCCTTTTTGTTTTATTGATCTCCATAGCGACCACATGCTCTCCCACTTCCTAATATCTATGGCTTTCATGTCATGGCCATTTTGCTCTTGGCAATCCAGTCCAAAAATGTAGGTCACTCCATCACTCTATAATTGTTTCAAGCATCACATGTCAATCCATCTTGTCGGACCAACACGATTTGACACCTTCACACATGATCTAACGCTTTCATAGCAAGTATCACACGTGCCTGTCATTATAGAAAGGGTGCGGTTTGTATGGAGCCAAGGCTCTAAACAATCAAAGTAAAGCGTACCTTGATATAGTGGCGAGATATGTGGCTTCAATAGTGGAAATCTTTATGATAGCCTTAAAATATTTTTCATCTTAATTATATAATTTAAAGCTTAAAAAATAGTGTAGATCAAACAAATCTACGAAACTAATCTATGAAAACTAATATATGAAACTAGTCTAGATCAAACTAATCTATGAAACTAGTCTAGATCAAACTAATCAAAATAGTGTAGATCAAATTAATCTATGAAAATCTTGAAAATTGACGGTCCAAAAATGCATTACAAGATGCACTATTTCCAAAACTTGAAATCTATTTTTTTCTCATGTCCATATATCTTAATCTCCAGAGGACCAATTTTAGGATATTTGGGCATCAAAGTAACTTCTTATTGTGAAATTTTTGAGGTGGCCTCTAATTTGATTGTTTAGAGCCTCGACTTTATATAAACTTTTTCTTTAAAAAAAATTTAAAGCATTAAATAACTCAGCTTCTAAATTTAAGGAAATTTGTTTTATTAGGGCTAGACCGCATTTCTACATATGCATAAAGTGCAAAGCATTCATCTTGTAGATGGCTGAAGTAGGTGTTCCAAATGTTTGTTTACTACAATTATTATTTATAGTTTTAAAAATTTATTTATTTATTCATATTCATAATCTCCAAATTAGAGATTACATGTCTTTAAAAATTAAATATTAAAATCTATCTAAAAAATAGATTTATTAAAAAGCTCATATTTCTACATATGGAGGCTTGGCACTGGGTCCCAAATTTAAAGAGGCAATAAATGTATCAACAAATAGGAGGCTTGGCACTGGGTCCCAAATTTAAGAGGCAATAAATGTATCAACAAATAGTTGAATTCATAACCCTTTGCTATAAAGCTATAAGCTTTGCTGCCAAAGGTCATAAATCTATGAACTTTCCAGCAATTTAATAGTTTACCCATTTTTAACGATTTCAACTATGGTCCTATATATTTTAAAAGATATTTTGAATTTTGAAGGATACTTTGAAATCGTCACAAGATATATTAATAGGTGAGCTTATATGTGTATTTTGGCTAATTTTCTTATTATTTAATAGAAATATAAAGGGTTTGTCTACAAAAAGACTATTTATCTTTTATACAATAATCACTCTTTGTCTATTAAATTTTTTAAAAAATAAAATCTCGGACTTCATGACTCACTCCGAACCATCCAATTTAAATCTAATGAGAGAGAATGGTTGTGACCTCCTGGTATAAAAGATAAATGGTCTTTTTGTAGACAATCCCAAATATAAATGCATTAATTCCCACAATTATAATTAAATATAAGAACATTAAAAAATAACTTATTGTACATTATGTGAAAAACATTAATTATTTTCTTTACAGATATGTATCTAAGTGTCTCAGTAGAAGGATTGAAAAAGGCAAAAAGCAGGTCCAAAAAGACGTGGTTGGAAGTAGTTAGAAAACATATAAAAACTTATGACCTTACTAAGGATACAACCTTTTAATAGAATAGAATAACAGACTAAGCTAACGTTAATTAATTAATAAAAAGGTATGATGATGATTATGGGAGTCTCTAATTTAGCTCCCTTTGTGGATTTGAGTGAGTCATCTCGATTTGCAAAAGCTATTAAAATCAAGCATCTCTTTCTACCGACATATTGCAAGGCAAACGATTTACATCTTACCCTCTATAGAAGTCAACGGTAAGCAAATTAACAATCTCCATCTAAATTTTCACAAATTTTGGGTAGAAAGGTCAGCTCCATAGGGTGGCAAGGAGCCGGGTCGGCTGGACCTGGACCCAAAAACAATATAGGACCCAAACCCGAATTTGGAACCGAATTCATTGGATCCAGACGCGGACCTGAACCCGGACCCTAAAATATAGTGTGGTACTAGGACCTGGACCCGAAAATATAGTGCGGGACTCGTATCCAACCCAAAAATTAAAGGGTGTGGCATTTACAAGGTTGCAACTTTAAACGATCCAATTAAGGCGCATCACCAAATTTTACCATAATATGTAATTTTAGTGTAAATTTTTTTTCAGGATTATCTAAAAATCTATTTTCATATAAAATTATAAAATTTTAAACTCCAAAAATGGTTAAAATCAACTGGATCTATAAACATATGAAAATCTTTAAAATGGACAGTCTAGATAATGTGTTGCAAGATATACTATTTTTGGGACTCAAAATCTTTTTTTTTTTTTCATATTCATACATTTTGATGTCGAGATGATCAATTAGAGGGTTTTTCAACATTAAAATAAACCTTTTCTACATTTTAAAGTTGCAACCTTATATAGACTTTTTCCAAATTTAAAATATTTATGTATTTAATTATATTTCATGTATTGGGACTTGAAAAATATTACCGGATCCAACTGGGACTTGAATATTGTTCGGGTCCCAGATTTGGACCCAAACCCAACCTGTCTAGTCCAATCTTTGGACCCATATGCTGACCCGGATTGGGTCTAGTCCTCAGGTCCCTGGTCGGGCCGGGTCCATTGCCCGCCTCCCCCGTCACACTCTCTACCAACAGAATGCAAGGCAAATGAGTTATATCGCACCATCCATGGAAGTCAAATGTGAGTAAGCAAATTAGCAATCTCTCCATCTCTCTCACAAACCAATAAAAACTTTGGGTTGGTAGGCCACCTAATCTCTCTCCATTGATCATGTCGGTGGGAGGGTGTACGTAGCAGAAATAGGAATTGCAGTAATGATTGGGCAACAATGAGTACCAGTGATGGTTGAATATAAATCTGCCCAAAAAGTTCAGGATGCAGTTGGCATACAATGCATCCGCAGCTGTAGAAGTAAGGTACACCTTCAAATTTTATCATGGTATATAATTTTGATGTAATATGTTCTTAAGATTATCTCAAAATCTATTTTTATATCTAATTATAAAATTTTAAATTTCAAAAATGCTTGAAATTAAGCAGATCTATAAAATATGAAAATCTTGAAAATGGACGGTGTAGATAATATGTTGTAAAATGCACTATTTTTTAGACTTAAAATCTTTTTATTTTTCATTGTCATACATCTCGATGTTGAGATGATCAATCAAAAGGTAGTTCAACATTAAATATGTCTTTTCCGATGGATTTTTGAGGTGCATCCATAGCTATACTTCTAAGGTCGCAACCTTTTATAAACTTCTTCCAAAAGTTAATGCAGGTTAATGTCTGATCTTTATCCTTGAATAGTATACGTTAACTATGTATTTTTATTTTTTTTGTTGGTTAAGATAGAGGTGATTGCCAAATATGCTGAATATTATTAATCCCAAATATATGTGTGTAATTAATGATGGATCTTCCTATATATTTGACACTTGGACATGCATAGGATTCTGATCATCATCATCATCAAAGCTCTTTCCCACTAAATTGGAGTCGGATGCATCGGATTCTGATATGAAATTACATACTCAAATTAGATTACAAAAATGATAATTTCCCTGGGACTTCAGATACTTATCAATGACAAAAAGTAGCCTTACAAAAGTGCTATTTATCACCTCTGAATAGAACCCCAGATTATCGAACAAAGTAGATCGATGGTCCAGATCTGCAGCCAACCTTAGAATCCAACGGTAGGATGATATACACATGATATTTTCTGTGAGTTCAAAGTTCAACTACAATGTCACATAGTTAATGTTATTCACTTTGAACCCTACTCTCATCACTAGCTTTCACCTTGTCAAGTCTTATATTTCCTCCAACCATGTCTTGCCTTGAGTATATATGAGGCCAAGTGCCTAACAATGGAGAGATTTGCATTTGTCCAAGGGTTTAGAGAGCCCGGGCATCTTCGGCTCTAGACGCCGATGCCCATGGATCAAATGCACCATGACTGTCTCATTGAAAAGCTGTCTGATGACTGTTTGCAGGTCTGAACTTCTTAAGATTTGTGTGAAAAACCTACCGTTTATCAGATCACCATAGTTCCCCACATGAACAATTACCATCTTTGAAATGGTGGAACTGATCGCGATCTTTCAACACAATCTCACGGTCGACGAACTTTGATATCCACTCTGCCATAGAATGGCAATTGCGACAAACTCTAAGGTTCTTCACTACCCGAATGGGCACTCTAGATTGAATGCTTATCAACCCAAAACCAATGGCTAACATCTCACTATGACCACTTGGAATGCACTCCCTCTCTTCATCCACATCATGCATAGAAAAGTCATTCTCCAGAACATGCCCACTCTGTCTCATCTTCTCCATCAACGCCTCCAATTCCCAATAAATCCTCTGTGATCTTGGGTGTGAGACATCTGCAACACCGAATACATGGGCCTTGTTTCGAACCACAATCCAACTGTATGCATGCATAGGCTTCAAACCCAAGTCCATTATCATCTCCCTCAAGCTCGAGACCATGCCCCACTTCCCCATTGAGGCATATATATTGGACAACAGCACATAATTGTTGGAATTATAAGGATCTAACTCGATCAATTGCTCAATCATGCGCTTCCCCATCTGTTTTTTCCGATGCATTCTGCACCCATCGAGTAGAGTGCTTTGTGTTTGCGCACAGTGAACAATGCCATGCTCTTCTATGAAAGCTCGAGCTTCATCGAACAAGTTAGCACGGCAAAGGAGGCTGACCATTGAGATATAGTCCTCAATTTCTGGTTGTTCGATACAATCAAAGAAGAGCTTGCCCTCCTCAACCAAAGCTCCGGCTTTGCAAGCCCGGAGAACAGCAGAGTATGCGACATGATCAGGTTCAATTCCTTCTTCTCTCATCTCATGAAATAAGCTCACCCCAAGTTCTCCTAGACCGTGTAAGCTGCAACCCTCTACCATCACAGTGTATGAGACCACATCGCGCTCACAATTCTTCTCAAAAATCTTTGTTGCATATTCAATGCTCCCTGATTTCGCATACATGTCGACTAGTGCATTATCCACCACCAAATTCTTAGCCAATTCACATTTAGTCACATAGCAATGAATCTCCTTTCCATGTTTGTGAGCCGACACTCTAGCACATGCAGGAAGTATACTTGATATAGATGATGGGTCGGGCCTTATCCCACTAAATAGCATCTTCCGAAACAACTTTAAGCCTTCATTGAAGCTCCCATTCTTCACATACCCATTAATCATAGCAGTCCAAGTAACAACATCCTTAACCTCTATTTGATTGAATACTTCTCGAGCAAAATCCATGAATCTGCAATCCAAATACATTGACAAAAGCGCGTTACCAACCAACAAATCTCCTTGGAACCCAATTTTCTTCACATACTCATGAATCAAATTGCATTTAGAAGGAGAACTTGAGCGCGCGCATGCTCTGATCACTGTAACTAAGGTTACAGGATCAACCTTGAAGCGGAAGCTTCCATTTCAAAAAATGTTTGTAAACCCAATTGTGGGTTATCACCATTAGCATGAAATCCAAGCAAAATGGTCCAAGCAATAGAGTTTCTTTGAGGCATTTCATCAAGTACATGGCGAGCAATTTCAATACTATCCAATTCACCATACATTCCAATAAGCGCAGTGCATACAAAATTATCGGACGCAAAACCAAGCTTTGTTAACTGAGCGTGGACTTGTTTGCCCAAGAACAAGTGATTTGAATGTCGACAAGTTGTTAAGACGCATGGGAATGTGAAATTGTCAAAAGGGGTGCCATTGAGGAGCATTTGGTGGTAGAGAGAGAGAGCAGTGCGATAATTTTTGGCTTCGAAGTGGGCTCGAATGAGGCTGTTGCAGGCGAAGGTGTTTCTTTGAGCCATTCCACCCAACAGTTGGTGGAAGCGGATGTTGGGCATTTCGATTGCGGCCATTGCAGCCAATTATGCTCGCTCCCTTTTCTCTCTCTCTATATATATATATATTTTTAAAATAAGGAAAAAAAATTGGTATTGTACCATTCACCTTTGTTGTAACTTCATATTATTCACCTAAAAAATCCTCCAAAAGACCCGACATTGGAGAACAATCCGGTTGATCATCTCGACCTCCAGATCCATCCTATTTTTAAAATTTAAAATTTATATTTAAAAATCTAGTTTTTTCAAATCATTTTCGACATCTGACTTGTAGAGAAGCTCTACAGGTCCGCTTTACTTTTACAGTATGCGGCGGTCACCTTATAGAAACCTGACCCTTCAAATGATACTGTTTGCATCGGAAACGGGCCGGACCATTAATAAGGAATGGTCTCTTTCTATTTCCTCCTAATTTATGAATGGAAAAAGTTTATATAAATTTGCAACCTTAAAAATGTAGAAGTTTGAATGCACCTCAAAAATACATGGGAAAAAGTTATTTTAATGTTGAAAAACATTGTGATTGACCATCACCACGGCGAGATATATGGCTATGAAAAATAAAAATATTTGAGTTTTAAAAATAGTGCATCTTGCACCATATTATCAACACCATCCATTTTCAAGATTTTCATATGTTTATAGATCTACTTGATTTTAACCATTTTTGAAGTTTAAAATTTTATAATTAGATATAAAAATAGATTTTGAAATAATCCTAATAACATTTTACATACAAAGTTATATATTATGATAAAAATTTTGAAAGTGCACGTTAGTTGGATTGTTTAA